TTTTTTTTTTTTTGCTGACTTGGCTTCCCACTTTGTGGACGTGGCAAAAAATTGTTTAAACTATTCAGTTAAAAAAAACACGTGGATTTAAACGGAAAAAAAATAATTCAGTTTATAAAAATCGGTCCCAACTTTTAAAAAATCGACAAATCGACTTCAGCCCCAAATCGACCTTACAGAACCCTAGCTTCTCAAACCAAGAACCCTAATCCCCAATTTTTCCAATATTCGAATTCCTCACAAAAATGTCGAAAAACTCATATGTCGCCGATCATAGGCTCTGCTATTGCGGTCAAAGAGCGGTTATTCGAACCTCTTGGACGACTGAAAATCCCGGATGTCGATTTCGTTCGTGCATTAGGTATGAGGTAAGTGATTACTCGTTTCCATTCCTATTTGGTTCTGCTCTTGCTGTTTTTTTAAAGAAAAATAATAACAAAAACATGATCACTCATTGCTTAATTTGTAGAGAGAGGGGTGTGAGTTCTTCTCTTGGGTTGATCCACCTATTTGTAAAAGGTCGAAAGAAATTATTTCTGGATTTTTACGAAAATCAAATGTTTTGAATGCTGAGAATGAAGAATTGCGAGAGGACAACATGAGATTGGTTAGATTGAAGAAGAAATTGGAGTTAGAGAACTTGGTTTGGCAAGTGAAGATGAAGTCCAATAAAAAGACCAAAATATGGCTAGTTGTGGGGGTTGTGACTGTTCTTCTACTTGTTCTTAAATAACAAATGCTAGTTTGGCAATTTGTTTGGAATATGAAATGAAAATGGTACTTTTAGCAGTTTAAGTTTATTTTAGCAGTTTTGTTGTAGTAGATTTGCTAGGTTTGATGAACCATGAACTTTGTTGAAGTTTTTATCTATTGTAATGGATTGTCTTGTGTGTGATTCAAAGGTCAAAGCAGTTATGCTCTCTTGAAAGTTCAAAATGTTTATGCCATGTTTATGAAACTTCAATGTTCCTAAAATGGTTTGCATTGGCTTGTGAAATGTGCATTACTGATAATGCAGCTCATAAACCACAAACATGGTAACCGTAAACCATGAAAAGATTAATATGTTGGCAACACACCTCAAGTTGACAACATGTTGAGCAATCAATAAACATAAAAATTGGTACCAACAATCAATAAACACACCATATCTTGACAATAAACCTGTTATACATAGGTCAACAATTGTACATATAAACCATCACAATAAAGACAACTCGGACAAACCACTTAAACCATGAACAAAACTGGTAGCAACAATTTCTTTGCCCATAAACCTGGTAGCAAAAACACAAATGACAACATGTCATAATCCATTACAGAATGTGACAATCCATTACACCTATTTCACTCCAATGTCAAAATCACCCATCACTTGTTTGGCAATGTCATAATCCAAAAATCACCAAAATACATCACCTTTACATAGCATATTTACCATCCATAAACAACTGGGGATTTACAAAAGTAGTTTAACAAAAACAACTTAGTTCAGCTTTCCACAAAATAGTTCCCAGAAATTCCCACACAAACAGTATACACAAAACACAACTAGTTTTCTAGTTTTGATGCCATTGAACCCTGCAGCTGCTGGTAAAAGGGTAGGTCCTGTCCGATTGGCAACTCTAGGAATTTGGTACTCCTCGCAGTATGGACCAAGGGACTCCAGATGAACATCATCTTCTTCATGTCTTGTCACTGGTGGCAAAAGTGTTGGATTCTGAAATGAATAAAGTAAAAAAAAATAGAGTTAGCAAGAATTGGTTTTAAAAGAGAAATTGATAGCAACAATGAATGAAATCAACACTTACATTTGATGATTGTCCTATTCCATATTTTTTTTGGATACTTGGTGTGAAATTATACGGGAATCCTACGAACTGATATGTATTTTTCAGTTTTTACCAATAATATAAAAATAGAAGATTACAATTGAACTGGAAATAAATTACAACTCAAAAACGTAAAGATTTTAGCCGAGGCAAGTAAAACTCTTTCTGCAAGAAGAATGCGCGGTTCAGGCGTAACTCCCCAAAGATACAACGGCAAACGTTACTAAATTTGTAGCACACCAGATTTACGAGTTCCGGGGAACTGGAACAGAGTCGAGAATTGAGAACTTAAAAATAAAAGAAATATCCTAAAACAAATAAAAATATCACTTGTTTGTTTTCTCTTTTGATATTTTTATATCTGATATTTGGACATATATATTTCTTTTCTTTCCTTTCTCTTTCTTTCTCTCTTTTTCTCTGTTCTTTTCGGTGTGTCCTTCCTTTCTCCACGGACGTCTATTTATAGGGGATGGATTGAATTTTATTTTATTTTTATTACAACTAGTGGGGCGGCTGCATGTGGCACCACCCCTACATTTTTGTTAACTGATTTTCTAAATACCACATTGATTTTACTAAATACCGCCCCCCGAAATTACTTTTTTGTCCTCAGTAATTTTAAAAAAAAAAACCTAAAAAAAAAATTTCTGCAC